AAGGAACATAAGTCAGCCGTTTGCCTACGGGACCGTTTATCACTCGTATTTGAGCACTTCCTTGAGTGTGATTGGAATGTCACCGACATGATCGCAATGGCTAATGAGCAACAAGCGAGATAATTCCTCAAAGCTTGGTACTGGAGCCAGGCTAGTATAAACAGACACGTACAGATTGACTCACACTATACCGGTTTTCGTGCATGGTCGATTAATCTGGACCCAGCCTGAAACAACAGCAGGGCTGTCCGTGCTCGGTCAAGTAGAATTTCTGACTCTGAACCAGCCCCCCCCTCCCCCGAACACGTAGCCCACAGTCCAAAAGTTAACACCTCCCTCCCCTCACCAGCATAACCTATCGCGGCGGGAGTTACGTCACCATAACTCTCCCACCCAATCCCCCCCGTTCGTTGTAACCTCCGATCCCAAAACCTCTAGTGCGACATTCCCAGCCCTCACTTTTCATTTAGTCTGACGACGAAAACGTAATACTTGTACCACTCGATTTTCCGAAGATCTTTCTTTTCAATAACCACGTTATTAGACAGTCGTTGTGCTCTGTGGCCATTCAACAAAAAGTAGCATCCCTGTGTGGCCGGGTTTCGTCTAGTGAGCCAAAAACTAAGAATTGGCGTCATTTCTCTGCACTGCTGCCGCGTGTTTGGCATAAAGCTTCATTGGGAAGTCTTCCAAATTCTTCGACGTAGTTGCTTTGTCCGCAACTGAATCAAATCCTACAGACGATGTTTTTGCCTTAGCAGTGCGTCTTTTGGTGTCATTATTTTATGTTCCATGGTTGCCTCCGACCTCGGTGCGACTGCAAATCTAAGTGGTGCGAGAAGACGGTCGACGGCTCCCGATAAAATTTTAATTTACGGGATCGTTCGTCGAGATTGGCAATCGGCCCGATTTTTTGCCCCCGGGACTCTTTGCGGCAGACGAGGAAATCAAGGAAGGCTAGCTGGTTGTTCTTTCACTCCCCTATCGTAATGACTATGTCCGGTAAAATCTTTTTGAGACCTCCTTTCCGAAATCGGTGAAATCACCGGTATTCTCTCAACCTGCTGGTAGATTGTTCCATTAAACGTGAAGTACATCCTGAGACAGAGGTTCTGGACCTGCAGGATTTGGGCATTTCCGCGGCAATTCTCCGTGTCATCGTACTTGCTTCTTAGAAGTAGTTCGACTGCCAGATCCTGAGAGCGAATAAAGACTTCATCCGGCGATCGTACATTCTTCTTCTTCTTCTTCTTCTTCTTCTTTTTCTTCTTCTTATCAATTACTTCCTGAGACGCAAATGTTTGCTCGTAATGCCAATGTTTTTCGTTATCCGGTTTTCCCCTGGAGAAATGACATGCACAAGGCTCGCCCATATTTTTTAATCTTTCCAAGTGCCATTAGGAGTAACTTTAACCAGATGTGGATTCAGCACTAAACTACCTTTTCAGCAAACAAGTAGCACCCTTTACGTTTTCCGGCGGTAAGTTGACGTGCATGATATGACTACACATACGGTGAGGTAGATAAGGTTGGACGCTGTCGTGAGTATCGTAACTGTCCAGTAACTAGAAAAGAAGCGTTCAGTTTCTCAGATGAATGTTTGTTTTTCTTCGAGTGAGAGAAAGCTTCACTACAAGGTAGAGACAAACACTTTAGATTGGTAATTTAGATATCACCAATATACTGACAAGCCGGCAGTCGTTGCAGCAAATGTTGTATACAAACGCCCGCATATAGCCCTGAAAGTAAAGGCCCCTTTAAAGAGCATGCTCTTTATAGAGACGACCATTTTTCACCGGAAAAAACATTGCAGTTTAGAACGTAGCTTAACAGTGTTTTCTTAAACATACTCATACGTCGAAATACATAACTATTGTCAGCCCTATCGTTGCTTCGTACGGGAGGGGTGCTAATAGAAGTTTTATGGTTGGTTCACATCACGTGATAGAAAACAATGAGTTTAAAGGCGCAGAAAAGCAAAAAATGAAAGGATTTAATTATTCGTGTAACACAAATATTTGCGCCGGTAATAAAAATGAAACATGCAATCAATTCAAAACAAAATCTGTACAAAAGTACTTGCAAATTGGACACAAAATAATGCCGAGTCTAGGTATAAATTTGGAGATTAAAATAAAAACAGGAAAGACAGGCCTTTTCATCATTTTTAAAAACTCACAGTAAGTTGTCATGCATTTTAGCAGATACTGTAGTACAATACGTTGACAAGCAATCGTATGTTCCATAAAAAATCTAAATTTTATTAAAAATTAAGCTGAAACTATAAAGATAAAATGAATATCATTTAGCAATTAATAAACTACAAACTAAAGTAAAACGAAAAAAATTATAAAAATAGAAGGGCCCAATAGAAACTAAAATTTGCCGCGTCTTTGACTGCAATAATAAGAGTAAATAAGCCTACTAAATTCATTATAGTAGGCATATAAGTACATATATCAAAAGACGTCGAAATATGAGAATTTCACTGTTTTTTATTACCAAACTCTGCTCATATCGCAAAAACGGCTACCGGGGCTCTAGTGAGAAAGTGAACGCCATAGATTAGGCCAACCTTGCCCTAAAAGCATAACACCTTAACAGAACAACATGGAATCGCTGCTAGACGTTAATAGACGGAGGCCCTTTAAACGACTTTGGACAAGACTACTGAAGACGAATTGCTAGCAGGTTAGGGGAACGCACTACTTTTGAGACTATCTGCGTCTCACGAAACTAAATCTTGCTTTACACGCATCATAGGAAGTATTGTCGAAAAGCAAACCCGTCAAAAGGATTCGCCTTAGCAATGAATCTCGAGGTTTCCTATTAATTGGTGTTCAAAGGTAACGATAGACATCCGCGCTTTCAATGTTTCAACGGAGCAATGGAAATCACCTGTGATGATAAGCTAAGGCAAAAATCTTAAAGGACAGACAAGTGAACACCGCATATTCTTCAGCTTATGAAAACTCCCCTTTCTGGCCATCCTTCTTAGTAGAAGTTCGGATGGAACAATATGCAGAGGTGTATTTCGCAAGAAAACCTGGACAAGGCTATGTACTAATTTCTACAGGTTTGTGTCACTAAGTCAGAAACTAGGCCTAGTCCGCTGCCTCACGAACCGAGCTAGGAGAATCTTTTCCCCAGAGCCACTGGAGAAAGAACTCGTACTCAGTAAAAACACCCTACAAGAAAAAAAGATTTCCCGAGAAGTTCATCAATAAGTTTATGGATGAACGTCCACCAAAATCGGAAGTACCGACGGCTGAGAAGAAAACCTTATTGCTTACATTGCTATTTCAAGGTGATCCACTGAGTGAATTTCTACAGCTTCTCCTGAACGCTGACATTGCGCGTACTTATTCAGCAGCTAAGGTAAAATTAGTATTTTCAAGCACTCCACTTCTTCGCCTTGAAGGCAAGGATAGACTCCCGTTCCAGACCTAATCAATGTGCATCTACAACTTCACATGCTCCTGTGGGGCAACTTACATTGGTTGAACAACTAAGCGGCTATCCAAACGCATGCGAAAACACCATCCTGCCTAGCTAAACAAAGGCGAGGTCAAATCAATAGTGCGATTTTGGCTCACTTGGTTGACAGCGGTCATCGGGTAGATGTAAACCAAGCGTTTCGAGTCTTGTATAAAGTGCCAGCGAAAACTCCAATACGTCATCGGAAACAGGGGCAGATAGAGATGATCGACAAGCAGTTGGAGTGGCGGTCACCCCTTTTTACAAACTAAAAGCGTTCTTCCAGAGCATCGGGTCCACTAATTCTGGTAGGTATGTGGTTGTCGGGTAAGGCCATTTAGTTTAGTATTCTACTGCCGGCATCGTCGGAGCTTTTATTGTTCGTGTACCCATGCTAAACTCTTTTCTAGTCAGTCGCATTCGTGGAATTGCGTAAACAACCCACTTCTAGACCCAAATGCGCCTTCTGGTAGAAGGGCTACCACTGGGTGAAAGCAAAGCTTGCTTGTCCTAAATGCATATTTAACAGAAAGGAATCACAGTGTCTTAACCGATTCAGCAATGTTAATGATACTAGGATATTAAAACCTCTTAAGCTAAATCCAATGTGGCAATTTTATGTATCTTTGACCGCACTAAGGTTTTTTTCTTTATCAGCATGCTTAAGATACGAACAGTATCAGCGAAGCGATAAACCTTTTAGGAGGTGGACTTTGATAGCGGAGATTCGTGATCCAGAAGCCTTATTGCGTTTATCGTCTCCCAATGAAGAAGGAGAGGAAGCGAGTTCGTGGACCGTTTTGGAACACTTCTCGCTTTCAGCATCAGAGTCATGTAGTTGCTGCGTCTGATACTCTTGAATAAGCCAGTCCTGCCACATTCCTCGTATCATAGAACAACTGGAAAAAATTTTGTTTTAACAATTTTTAATTAAGTTGACGCAATTGTGAAAAAAACTCGCGGAGTTTTGCGGGAGTCGAACTCGCATAGCACGGAAGGCCTTTACGCAGCCAACTCTCAACCATTTTAGCTACAACGCCACGCAAAAATTTGCCAAAACTTCCTAAATAAGTAAGTTAAGCTAGCATTCATTCCGGTGGATTCGAGATGATTGCTTAGGAAATCCTGCTTGGGCAGTCGGCTTGCTGTTCCGCATTGGTAGATTTTATACGAACGGTAAAGTTGAGCGGATAAACTCGACCCAAGTGTGATTAAATTCACGGCGCCAGGCGTGGTGATTTTAGCTTAAGTAGCAGAGCGTTGCCTGCGGGTTTGATTCCCGTCGGCGCCGCGAGTTTTTTCACAATTTGGTCAACTATATTAAGCAAAGCTGTCACTGCTCCCTAAATTAAGAATTTCGATTGACATTTGATGAAATAGGAAAGCTGCTGTATGCATTTGGCTTTTTTGTATGCTTCGAATTGATTAACTGGTGAAAACGCGCACAAATGTTTCTTCAGTATGAAAATGATGACATCTCTGCAGGCAATAAATTAGAGCGTAATCACCGAGCTTTCTACAGTACCCTCGCGAGGTGAACTATATGTAACATCGAAAACAACTTCCCTATCCACGATGTCCGTAGCTAACATAATGTGCTTATTTAGCGGTGGCCAGGAAAGACCCTGGGAGATGGTCAAAACTCCTCCGTTTGTACTCTTAGCCAGGGCATGATTTTGGCCAGTTTTCTGCCTCACTGAGCGTAAGCCGAGCAGATGTCGCCGCTGGTGGATGAACGCTAATTAACTAGACGTCTGACGGCGCCGCTTTACTGCCTGATCAGGCGTCGGTGCTCAGGAGTGTTTCTTAATGTGCACGATGGGCCTGAAAATCGCGTAGGCCGGGTCCCTGGATGCACTTTCTCATAGTTTGGTTAGGCCATCTGGTTTACTTGTAAAAAATTACGTTTTACTTCCGCCTCGTTCTAGTCAGGTGGGGCAGCAGTGCTTACTGTCGACATTGCATGAAAGCAATCCCATGGTATAAATACTACTCGACGATAGATCAGAAGACAAACTGACGATTATACGTTAGTTTTCGATAAATTATCGTGAGGTTATTAACTAAATAAAGTGTGAGGGTTGGTAGAAAAAAAACTGCGATTGTCGGGGAGGTTTGGGGGGGATCGGGGTCAAAATCTGATCAGTTTTAGGTGGACTGATAGCCGACAGAGGTTATAAACTGCGGGCTGTTGGATTATCGGCCTTTGACCATAGTAACTGCGACGCCATGACGAAGCTCTTTTGGGCGCACAAGACCGTTCGGCCTAGTGTGATTGTGGCCGCTTTGACCGTAGCCAAAATAAGATGTCCGAGGAAATTTTGGATAACTTGAGAGCACCTGTTCGATCACTTGGAAGGCCTCTCTAGCATCCACGGGATGGTCTGAATCTACCAGTTATGCAAGAATGTAATTATGTGACCCTTTCCCAACCCTGATGGAAGATGTGCTCGTACTCTTTTGGACAGACGATTGATAAGAATTGATTTAAGATAACATCTTCATGCAGGTATATCCGAACAGTCCTAATTTTAACACAAATCAGTGTTTACCGAAGTTCTCTTATGTTTCCTTTCTTGCTCCGCGAAGAACTCCGATAGGCCAAGGTGCGAGCCAGCTCGCTCCATATCAGATCTCTCAGAGCAGTGTGATATTTTATATTGATTATTAACTTTTACCGGGCGAAACACGCCTACTAATGGGATCCGGATTCGGTAACTAAACTAAACTAATTCATCGATGACTGCCCAATTAGGCAGAAAAATTGTTATATTTTTTATGAGAGAATACAAAAACTTACAGGTGTTAGACGATCGTCTGGCTTGACTTCTGAGGAGGGTTACTGGCGTCCTGAAAGACGTCGGGTTACTGACTGTATCAAACAATTGTTGTCAGAGATATAGCGCAGGCAACAGGGAGACAGCGTTAGCCATAACGTTTGCTTAAAATAGCGTCTTTGTAGTTAACTCTGCTTAAACAAAAGCACTAACAGTAGTTAGCAATGATAATACATTGTTTTTTTCCTAGTATGTTA